TCAGATGGAAGGACAGTCCTTGAAAAGGTGTTTTTTTTTGGTTTTTTTTTTTTTTTTTTTTTTTTTTTTTTTGTTGTTGTTGGATATTTCTTGTAAATGGTTTCTTTACAAGAAAGACTTGAGAAAATAAGCCATCATAGGGTGGCTTAGGTTGGAATGGGACCTTTTGACCCTACCCTGTTCCAACCCTCTACCATGACTAGCAGTGTGCCCAGGTTGCCAAGAAGGCCAGTGGCATCCTGGCTTGGATCAGGAATGGAGTGGTGAGCAGGACCAGGGAAGTCATCCTGCCCTGTACTTGGCAGAGTGCTGTGTTCAGTTTTGGGCACCTGAGTACAGAAAGGACATGGAGGTGCTGGAGCAGGTCCAGAGAAGGGCAACAGGGCTGGGGAAGGGCTTGGAGAATATGGCCTGTGAGGTGAGACTGAAGGAACTGGGGCTGTTCAGTCTGGGGAAGAGGAGGCTGACGGGAGACCTTACTGCCCTCTTCCAATACCTGAAAGGTGCTTACAGTGAGAGAGGGGTTGGTCTCTTCTCACTGGTGACAGGTGACAGGACGAGGGGAATGGCCTCAAATTGTGGCAGAGGAGGTTTAGGTTGGATATGAGGAAACATTTCTTTACAGAAAGGTTTGTTAAGCACTGAAACAGGCTGCCCAGGGGAGGTGGTTGAGTCACCGTCCTTGGATGTGTTTAAGAGCTGTTTGGATGTGGTGCTCAGGGACATGATTTAGTAGAGGGTTGTTAGGGTAGTGTATATATATACATATATTATAAATATATATATATATATAACCTGGTTGTGGCTGGACTTGATGATCTTTAAGGTCTTTTCCAACTTGAGCAATTCTATGATTCTATCTGCACAGTTGCTACCTACCGGCTTAGGCTGCCCAGAGTCCCATTCAGCCTGGCCTTTGAGTGTCTCCAGTGATCTGGGCAGCCTGCACCAGGTCTTCATTGTCATCTGAGTAAAGAATTTCCTCTTAACATCAAATTTAAATCTCCCCTCTTCTAGTTTACAACCATTCAGCCTCGTCCTATTCCCTTAAGACTACACATGAAGTTGCTATTCCTCCTGTTTATAAGCTTCCTTTAAGTATTTTAGTACCTCATTGGGGTCTTTCTGGGCTGAACAAGCCCTCCTCCCCCATCTTTCTTTGTAGGAGATGTGCACTACACCTCCAGTAATATTTGTGGCCCTCCTCTGGACCTGCTCCTATGACTCCACATCTTTCTTGTGCTGGGGGCTCCATGCCGTACTCCAGATGGGGCTTGTCAAAGTCAGACTAGTTTGAAGTTGGTTAGAATTTTATATATGCAAATATATGTATTGTTTTGGATTAGTTAATGGTATAAAGTGGAGGCATTTATGAAACATTTCTTAACAAATTAATACAGATTTTTCTTAGAGCAAAAAGCTTGCTTGTTTATTGATGTATGTAATAGGTATATGCTGACACATAGAAATACCAGTATAAGTATCAATATAATGGAAGCAGTTTTCTCTCAACTGAAAGTAGTAGTTTTGCATTCAGGTATCGTATTCAATTATAGTGCTAAAATGAAGCCCTCAAGTGAAATCTTGAATCAGTTTCTACTTCCACAGCAGTGTATAGTACTGTATGTTGTTTAGTCACCATGTACCTTAATAATTCAGAACAGCTGTCATTTTGAGATCTCTATCTACCAATTCAGAAATTATGAACTTTGTTCTCAAACTGCTGCAATTCCATTGCTCCAAAGAAGTCCATTAATTGTGCAATGCGTGTACGTGCCCAGTGCTGTGAAGTACTCTTGGACTTTGCAAGACAAAATTTCATTGGACATTGTCAGGGTTTTATAATTTTTGGTAATCCATGTTCCACATCATAATGTAGTCAGTAGGAGTTAAGGTGTTAATGCTTCAGTTCTGGGTATATGTCCCAGAAGAGAAGATCAACTACATACCGCAGAGGACTTTGTGTTCAGAGGGAAGATGAAGTCCCTGGCAAGGTCATGAGGCCAGGCTCTCCTCCCTTCTGCTCATCCCGACTTCACATCTCACCTCAGCATTAGAGTAAGGTCTTCAGTTGTTGGACACACTCTCTCATTTAATTTGATTTTTTAGCTTCAATTCTAATTATATTGTGTTATTTTGCATTGTGTTATCTTGCATTCTGATATCTTGTTTAGTCAGTTATTTTGTTTCTCCTCAGATCATTGCCACTGTTTTTTTGGGGGGGGCCCATCTCTTTACACTTTTTCCTTTATTCCTTTTCAAGGCACAGATCTGCAGGCCCTCCACCCCACATGTCATGGAATTGGGTAGAATCAGCACGTAAACTGTTGGCAGACATGAACAGTAGATGGAAGAAAATTGTATCAGCGTTAGTTTTAGTCAGTTAATCTCTGTTGCCTTTAAATAGTGACGTATTGGCACAGGGATAAACATGTTCGAAAGCTCACTGGAAATTTTTTATTTTCCTCTAAATTTACAAATTTCGAATATGTTTGGTGCTTTTGAAAGTTCAGACCAGGCTGATATTGCTGAGTATGCCTGTTTCATCCATGTGCACAAAAATCAATCTAGCAGTTGTCTCAGCTTTGTGTTCAGAATGCTTTAAAATAATAGAGCAGAAGAATTTGTCATATTTCATGGTTACGTGCTTTTGTAGTAGATTTGTCTTCAAAAATTGATGGGATTTGTGCTGTATGGAAGAGCAAGGAGTCTAAGTTCAGTTGTCTTAGGTCTAATAATCCTGCAGTTGTGAGAAGAACTTGTGAGAAGTGATTTCTGCCATGGAAATGAAGAATGTAGATTATTACTGGTTAGGATGAATGTGTGCCAAGCTAGTGTTTTTACTCATTAGTTCTTTCAAGTAGAAAATAATCTAAGACTATCAAATTATGCATTGGTGTATATTTATTCCTAATTTTTCTATGGCAATGTAGCTTGACTGTGACGATGAGGAAGGTATTGGAAAGAGTAAGAGTAGAAAGAGGATATGTCATTTGGAGATCAAGTCCTTGTTTGCTTCAGAGGTTGGGCGTGTACGCTAAGAGAATAAAAAGTAACTGTGAAGGGCTGTATTTATTCCCACTTGTGGTGATATTTTAGGATTTTATACTTATCTGATGATACAGTTATGGTCTCAGACCTCTGATGTAATTGAAGCATTAATAATTGTGAGTGGAAATTTTGTATTATTTTTCTCTGTACTTTCCTGTGCAAAGAATTGCCTGTGCCATTCTGTGGCAGCAGAAGCTATACTAGGGATGTATTTCTATGCAATTGCCTTCTCCTGTTTTTCCTACAGAGCTACTGCTGGCCATACCACCTATTTTATGTGATGGCGCCAGCACACAAATGATAGGTAGTAGAAAGCTGTCTTTAGGAAACTTATGTGGACAACCCATTTTCATGTTGCATGAGCAGAGAAGTTCAGGGCTGATGGCCTGCAGAACTGCTCTGCCTCTGCTTCAGCCCTCTTAAGCTCTGGTTGTTCCCAAATACAATTAGTTTCGTTGAGACTCTTTTGACTCCTTAGAGAAGCCATCCACGTCGTATGTCGGTCTTGCTGTCCCACTGTGCTCTGTTCCTTGAACTGTCATCTTGCCACCACAGAAGTGTTGTTTTTGATGATTTTTGGTTTTGTTTCTATCTTCCCTGGGTTCCTGGGAATCTTTACCCAGCTCTACTTATTGTTACACATCAACTTCTGTGTTTATTTTAAACTCTGGAGAATGCATCCTTATGTTACATACAATAACACAATAAGCCGACGGTGACGATTCAATTTTAAGTTTAAAAAGATGATTTACTAAGAAAACACTCTTTATGATGGATAAACTTGATCTTGTTACTGTATGTTGTAGTTGATTATGGTTAATTGAAAGTGAAAATGATTAGAAGTACACCTAGTCACGATAAAGAAATTAAATTTACTTTAAGCTGACCTGTGCTAAGTCTAGTCAGGAAGTGGTTTAAAAAAAAAAGCTCTCATTTCCATTTACGTAACATAAATAGCTTTTTGGATAAAGCATAAAATTAAACAAAATGTAATTACTATCTCAAAACTACAAAGGATCTGTGTATTTAATGTACTAGGAGGTAATCTTGACCAGGTCAGCAGTTACTGGAAAATGGCCTGTTTCTCAAATCTATTTCTAACTGGAAGCTCTCACTTCAGAAATCCAAAATATGATTCCGTATTGTAGATGATCATCAGCTTCTTGAAAAAAATTATACCAAAATGCAAAATTACTACAAGCAGACTTCACAGTATACTTAAAAGCAGTTTCTTTGCTTCACTAATGTCAGTATTTCTTCTCGTGTTACTTAGTGTTACTTGATTGTATCTTTGGCTCTCCAGTCATGTTCATGCTTCCTAGTTACCTACATTCATATTGCTTTTATATGTAAATAAACCTTCGCACATAGGAATCCTCCATGGTAGGAAGAGAACTTTGGATATACTTCTATTTAATTGTAATGCCTTATTACAGTTCTGCTAATTTCTGCTGTTCCTTGGCTCGTGTTCTAGAGGTGTGCTTTTATTCTTGAGTTTATGAATCTACATGCTTTTATTCCTTTAGTATGTTTTTCCAATTTATTGTTTGTTGTTTTTAATAGCTTACACTCATCTGTGTACATGCTGAGTCTCACCAGTATTTTTTTTAACTTCAGGATAAGTCTGCTTGCTTTTAAAAAGATTCGGAAAGAACTGAGTAGATAGAATTAAGTCTGTTTAATAAAAGTGTTGTCTGCTGTGATACTTAGAGTAAATTTTTTTGTATGTATTGTAGTATTAATATATATACTTTCTTTCACTGTTTTTCTCTACCTCATTAAATTAATAAGGTAGTCCTTATTGCAAAGTCTTGTAAATATTCATAGGAGCCTTAGAGTGCATTAAAAAAAAAAAAGCCTGTTGGCAAAACACGTATTTTATTTTGTCAGATGCTTTGTATGCTCTGTAACAGTCCTCCACATTTATTTATTTATTTTTTTTTTTACAGGATACACGGGCCAAGATGGACATCTTAAGTCATGTGAAAACAAGTACTGTGGCCTGGGTAGGCACTGTGTCGTGAATGGGGAGAGCGGGCAGGCTGAGTGTGTCTGCATGGAACACTGCAAGCCACACTACAAACCCGTGTGTGGCTCGGATGGAGAGTTCTATGAAAACCACTGTGAGGTACACAGGGCTGCCTGCCTGAAGAAGCAGAAGGTCACCATTGTACACAATGAAGATTGCTTCTTCAAAGGTAAGTGGAGCTGATCGGTATCTGAAATATAGCTATTGGTTACGTGTTTTCAAGCAGTTCTGTGGGAGATGCATTGAAAGCGTGGCAACTAGACGACTCAGAAAGTTATTTCACTCTGGAGACATTGTATGATTTTTCTTTTCATTTATACTTAGTGCTGTGATGACCTTTTCAAACCTGAATAAGCAAAGTGTTTCTTCAGAATCCATCACCTCTAAGATGGCAGTATCTTAGAGGTGTGCAATTGACTGCATTCGCCTAAATGTCTTTACTGTCCCGAAGTCCAACATATATTAACCTCTGATAGGAAGAAAGTAGTTTGAAACTGCAGAGGGGTTTGGTATGTCTACAGGTTTCTGTGCTTACAATTCATGTTGAAATTGATGAGTAGGTAAACTGACAGGTTGTTTGTGCCTAAATGCGTCTTGCTCACTTTGAATTTGGATGGTCAATATCACTCGTATATTTACCAAAGCATGCAAGTTTGGATATGTTTTCATCTATGGAATGCTGAGAGATGGATTTTAGATCAAGAGGCTTATCATACTGAAGGTGTCAACAATTGCAGTTGCTGTGCTGTACGTGCTTTGCCCACACTTGGAAGGTTTCTGGAACTCTGCCTATATTGATCTTGATTAAATGCGTTTGCAGATTTGTAGCGTGCATTAAAACAAACAGGTAGCTTTTGGAAAATAATGCTTTTCAATGCTGCCAGCTTTAATGAGTCTACTGAGGGGTAAAATTATGTTTTTTTTTTTCTGAGGACTTCATTTTAAGTAGTCTAAATGATGTATTTGTCTCTAACATTGACACTGGTGGGGGGTTCAGATCTTCATACCAGGTTGATTTCTGTGACAGGAAGAATGTTTCCTCAGAGATAAATTTTGAGTATTGAGTTCAAGATAAGAGAAGTTGGGTAAGAAGTCTTGTTCAAAGAAGTAACCTGGCCAGAAAAGTTTTTAATATTCCATGATGGGAAAATAAAATGTGTAAGCAAATATTCTATGTACTTGATTAACATAATATATATTGTAGAGTGTGTGTGTGTATATACACTAAGCACAGTAATATATTAGAAGATACAACTGTTGAAATTACGCATTTACTTGCTGAATAATTCATAGTGGCTCTTAAACATTGTGAGAGTTTTGTTTAAGAGTTTGAAGATTATCCCTTTCAGAAACTTTCATGATGAATGGAGATAGAATATTGACTTGCAAAGTGAAAGAGGTCCTTCGGTTATGTGTTGAAACTCGCAATGACATCACAGAGGATTTTGTCTTAGCAAATTGTAGATTTTTGCCTATGGATGATCAGAAATTAGTTTTCCACTGCCCTCATTGTAATTTTCATCAGTTTTTTTTATTAGTGTGTTTGTAGTATGGAAGATAAACTTGCATCGAACACTGAACAGTTTTTTCCTATAATGCCTTGATTAGATGTTGAATCTCTCAACATCTTTCAATTACTGAATATGCATTTTAATTTCTTCTAGTGTACAGGAAAAATGTATTCTGCACAGTAGTTCTTTTTTATTTAGATTCCTTCCTGTGTTCTGCAGAGTAATTTTTTTTTTTTTTTTTTTTTTTTTTTTTTTTTTTTTTTTAAGATCCACAGAAAACATGATCATGTTAGAAACATCTATATTTTAGAGTTTTCCTGTTTTTTATTTTTACCTGTCAAGTCCACTGCCCTGTATCTGGTTGTTTGTGAATCCTCAGCTGTTTAAAAATGTTTTCAAATATTTATTGAATATGGTTCCAAAAACTGAAGATAATGTATTGGGAACTCCTTTGTGATCTAAGTAACTTGGTTTTCAAGAGTGATTTCAAATTATTGTTTCAACACTGGCAGAAGTGAAGAAATGGGGAAGTGAACAACTAACTGGCTGCTAGTTTGGTTAGTGCTGGTGATTTTCATGTTTGTTATAGTTTAGTTTTTAATCATTCAATGGAGTATAGAATAAGGATAGAGAAAGGGGGGTGGGGGAGGGGGCAGAGGGAGGTATGGGGGGGAAAATGGAGGGCAGGTAACAAGGGAGTATATAAAGATGATGTTGTATGAGAAAACTGTGTCTAAAAAGACTAGGGATGTGATTGTCCCTCAGTGTCAGTGAGGGATGACACCTCAATAACTGGTTTGGTTGCGGACTTCTTGCTACACGAAGGATTTGAATTGTTGGAATGTATTTAGAGAAGAACAATTAAGGTGATGAAGGGACTTGAAAATGTGACTTTTGAGGAGTGTCTGAGGGAAGTGAGGCTGTTTTAGTCTGGAAAAAAGGAGACTGAAAGGAGAACTCAGCACTCCCTTCAACTACCAGAAAGGAGATTGACAGAGGTAGGTGTCAGTCTTTTCTCAAGTGACAAGTATTAAGATCTGACATGAGGTCTTCAAGTTACACCAGAGCTGGCTTAGGTTGGATATTAGAAATAATTCCTTCATCAATAGTGTGGTTACGCTTTGGAATGGTCTGCTCAGAGAAGAGGTAGAGGCACTATCCCCCCTGCAGGTATTTAAGATGCATGTGGATGCTGATAAGTGATGTGACTTAAAGGCCAACTTGATAGTGTTAGAGGGATAGTTGGACTTGATGGTCTTCATGTCTTTGCAATCCTGGATGAATCTATGGTTCTAAGAAAAGAGAAAAAGTATTGTGATGGACAGTTTTTTGGTGGGAGGAGAAGGAAATAAGAATGATAGGAATTTAAGGAAATATTAGTGACAGAAATGCCAAGGTCACAGATCATTCACTAGACCTAACATGGGTAGTGTGAGCGGGATGAAGTCTGATATGCAGCATCAGTCTGCCATCTCTTCTGTTAGCTTGTTGATTACATAGTTATGCTGCTGAGTGGTTTCCATGAGCTCTTTGCTTCTAACGTCTTTTGTGTCCTTGAGCCATGCATTTTGTGTTTCAGAGCAGCTTAATGTAAGGGGCAAAGTGAGAGGATAGCTAGAAATAGGATCCTCTGGTTATTACCGATGTTAGCTTTAACTAGCACGAATAAAAAGGCCCACACCTGCTTTACTTGGTGCCTTTGTCATGTTCTTTGTTTCACAAGATCTCAGCATGTGATCGTAGCTTTGTGCCAAATTTAGAATGCTGTAGCCATTACTTCCTGGGAACACGTTCCCAAGAGGAACTGGATTTTGTATGGGACTGTGAACTACGTGAGTTATGGTTTCACTAAATGGTGCAGTCTGGGGATGGAATGCCTCACGCTGGATGTCCATTAGGCTTCAGTAATATGTTCTCTTTTGTGTTAACTTCATTTTCCTTTTTCTTAAATTCAGATCAGTAAAGCTAAACAGGAGACAAAAAACTTTGTGATACAGTTCAAGTTACATTTCTTCACACAATGATCTTCTAGGAGTTTTTCTTATAAAATTTTTCTCTTTCACAACGATGCACTAAATCATTTTGACAAACTGCAGTTTACTAGAGTTCTCAGGACTGTAAGACATGCTTGCATGTACCAGGACTTTTATAGAATATTTCTAGAGTAAAAGTTATTTCAGATATAAACTTTTACAATTAAGTGGTTTCTGTATCATCCTTCTGATGTTAACATTTTATTTTCCTTTACGTTTTTCTTTCACTTTTCAGAAACTTCTGATCTGTTGAACTCTGTTAAGCTTCAATTTATGCTACTACTACTAAAATGACTAGGTTTCTGAGGAGTGTTATAATGCTTGCTACTCTGTTCATAACTGACAAACAAGTAAAAGTAGAAGCTTAGGAAACTAAAGAAAGTCTGCTGATGATACTGAGTTTTGAAGGATGGTGAGAATAAGAGCTGATTATGAACAAATTAAAAAGGGATATAGATCAACCTGAAGAAGTTCACAGTATATATGACAAATTATGAAATGGCTTATGTAGAATCTGAAAAAGGTTTACAAAATCATCGGGCCGTGCTGAGGGTGGGTATGGATAAATGGTTTGTCTTCAATTCCAAAGAAAGAAGGAAAAAACATTAAGGATGATGACAGAAGCAAATTCATATCCAAATCTTGTGGTTTCCTTTTTTTAATCTTTAATCGTGTATGGTACACAGGAGATCTCATGAGGGAAAGTAACATAGGATTTCACAGTGGGACTTTGCAAATACGAGGGTCAAGTATGTAGATTTTTCTTGTGCATTTTCTAATATTTGCACCATCGGAGGAGGGGAAAGCCATGTAACTACTCTTAATAATTATGTGTGAATTGAAGTGAACTAAATCATAGCAATAGCGTACAGGAGATATCTAGAATACTGATCTAGCTTCTCCAGTGATAGCAACAAAATTAGTCCAAAGATATTTTATGGTAATCCGTGCCCTAAGTCAGTGTAGTCTTAGACTCATTCCTGAAATATTGACGTATTCATTTACAAGCACTAACACTTATTTTGTCTAATTTAAAGTTTGTGTACTCGGAAAGCAAACATAAGTCTCTCATGTTATCAACCTCGCTTTAGGAAGAATTTGATCTTCAATATCAACCTTGAATATCCATACTCGTGTTGATCTTCAACGACTTTCAAAAGAGGCTTAGGATATGTTAATTAGAATGAGACTCTAGTGCAGTATTTTCACTGCAACACAAAATTTCTAAGAAGTTTTCCTTTGTTCTCTGTCTGTCAGCTGGCTTCCCTGTTAATGTTCTGAAAGCATCATTATTACATTCTTTCTAAAAATCTGATCCTCTGTGCAGATAGAATACACCCTTAAGGTTGCTGTTGATGAACTTATACAATTCACCTATCACTCCAGAAGTATATTTCACATAAACTGGATTATGAAATGAACCAGGAAAAATGTTTTATAAATCTATCAGAGGACAAAGGAATAAAAAAACCATTTGTTTTGTTCTAAATACTTAGTGTTTGTTGGAATGTAACAGTGCTTTGACTTCTACTAGGAATTCAGTCCGTGATCTACATAGATTCCCGTTGGTGAAACGCTGTTGGAATTCAAGATAAAATTGTGAAGTGTTATCTTCCTGCAGGGAA